CAACAGTCTTTGACATACCTTCCTCCTAGAAATTGGCTGTTCTTGGCTCACTATTTCACGGCCTTGGTGATCTCAAAACAGCACAATCGTAACAAAACGGCCTTGGTAACTCATGCCATGGACTTCTTCTTCTGCTTGATTCCATGGGGTAATTTGCAATTGGGAAGGTCTCTTTCAGAGTTGTGACGGAACACGGCACCATATTCCTGTGCCAAAGCATCAATATCCTTAGCCAACTGTGAAGTTGGGCCGATTTGGGCAAAAACACTCTCTCACATACAAGAAGATACCCAGATGTGGATGGCATGGAGCATCTCGGAGGGGCATGCACCATGGATTCCTGTATCATATTTCGGATCGAATCGGACCTTGTACCAGGCATTGTCAATGTACTGCTGTGAGATGGCTTTCAAACCTTCCAAGTCCTTTGTGTCAATGAGGTCCATGATCATTGAGATGGTGTTGGCTTCATGTTTCGCATTTGGGTTGTCAGCCAGTTTCTTCATTGGGACTGACACAACATCGACACAGGTGCTTCACATTGTTCCCCCGGCTCCTGTACTTTCCACAAAGCAGTTCTGCCTCATCGGTGTCAGCCCTTACCATTGCAGTCCAGAACACCAGCGTCTTGTTTTGGTAGAGCTTTCCTCGGTAAGGAAGGTCCCATACCATCCCATTCGTCTCCAAGGGGATGTAGTTGCTCAAGATGGTTTCAATTTGGGCATGGAAGTCTTGCGCTTTTGTAACTTTATTGGAGGTTTCTCCTTCCCTACCCACAAACACACCTTCCAAATCCTCAAGTGCTTGGTCATGACGAGAATCCGCAAACATCTTCTTTCCTCTGGATTTACCTTCCGAATAGTTAACCACAAAGCCAACAATCGCCCAGGCTTGATCCTTCTTCCGATAGTCAAGGGTGAAACAGGATAATGACATCTTCAAAGCGGTGATTGAAAGGTTGTCAAACTGGCCCGTAACTGCCCCATCAATGTAGAACTGGACCCCAATGCCTATCTCATTCTGTGGGTCATCCACGTATTCATTATAGGCGTTTCGGTATGCCTCGCCCGTGTTCAACTCACCCACATAGGTCGCCTTTTCAGGTGGTGGAGCCATCGGATCATCATTGAAAAAGCAGAAATCCTCATCTGTGAGGCGTGGATCGGTAAGCAATTGCTCCACACAATTCCGAGCACTGAAGCAAATGACTTTGATCCGGGCATTGCAATGAGGAAGGACTATCTCCTTTTCAAAAGGTAACTTGTCGCTCATGTTGTACCTTTCCTTAAGAATTCGGAGCAGTTTTTTCCTGCTGAGGTAGTCTGGATTCTTTCCCAGCTTTTCGTTGTCCATTAGCGACCCAATTTCCTCCAAATGCCAAGCAAGTACATCATCATAGGTATCCAGAGGTGTCCTTTTCCTACGGAGGATATCCATTAGTTTGACCCCTCGCTTCTCCGAATCGGTTAGCTCGGGTAATTTCTTTGCCTTGACACAGTAGGCTCTGAATGCGTTTATGTTGCTTTCGTCTGGGGGGCCGGTATCATCCAAGTCCTCTTCGTTGTCACCTTGCAATGTGGCAACTGACCCTTCCAAACTGAGCTCACTGTCCTCACTGGTAGGCTCACTATCCGAATCCGCGTTGAAACGATCAATGTTGGTAGGGAAATCACCATCCTCATCTAGCTCCCCATTTCCTTCCCCATCGGCACCCTTTTTGTTGCCGATTCGAGGATTTGCTACAGGTTTCCGATGGTCTGCATCTTCTTCGGAACCGCCACTACCTTGGAGTGAGGCCCTGGCATGGGCATCCTCGTCCTGCAATCCTTTGTGGAATGGCTGCCCTTGAATCTTGTCCTCTTGCTGCCTTTCTTGGTGCTTTTGCGGGCCGACCGGTGTCAGTGAGACCAAGCTGATCAGCTCTGGCCCTTGCTCTTGTCTGTCTAGCACCTATAGGATTGAAAGCAAGGTCCAAACCAAGGGCTTTCTGCATCAGTTGGTGGCAGCGGTTGTTCTGTTGCATGTGAGATTGCTGATATCCCACAGATTTGAATTTTTTATTGCAGCAAGGGCACTCAAACTCCTTCTTTGATGATGCCATGGCTGCAAGCTAGCTAGCCAACACTAGCTGCTACTAGGCGCACTGGCTGGTGATTTGGATTCTGTGTGCTGGGGAACCGCCCGCTTACCAATCAGGATGTAGTTTATGGTACAAAAGATGGGGTTTGCCTTCCCGAAAAGACGGTCCAAAAAGTGGATCCCAAATCGTGAAGCAGGCAGTCTTGCCGGGCGAGCCTTCGTTGCATGCCGATGTGGAACACACAATCCCGATTCCAATCACTGCACGCATTCTTGGAAGAAATTACGTCACGGATCGGGATCGTGCTGGTTGGTGTTTGGTACCTGCACGCATGTTGATTCTAGCACTACCTAAAAATGCGCTTCTTAGATGTACGATGGTGGAGCACATATTTGAGGAAACCAAGGCGCACATGCAGGAGATTCATGAAGAAGACTGCGATGATTGGTGGGTCTATCACAATGCTTTGTCGCTCATGACTGCCACGACGACAAGGGCATGGGTGGAGGAGAAGGGCTATCTCAAGCATTGGATCTTGCCGGAGTGTGGTCTCAATGCACACACTCCCAAGCACAAGCGGTACTATTCCCAAGCACCAGTGGGTAACTCGCCGGAGCTCATGCCATGGGACTGCAGTTTGAACAAGGATTTCGACTATGCCATTGACTATCGCGTGCTGCAGACTCACAGGTTGCCAGAGGATCACGAGCTCAAGTTCTCTTACACTACTCCATCCCATGGCTCTTATTGCTTGAGACGTGTCTACGAGTTCAACCCAAGGAGTGAACGAATCGCCCATGATGTCAACCAGTCCCTCCAACACCTTGTTGATATTATGGAGTGGGAAGGATGTGGACATCGTTCAGGAGATTGGGAATAGCAAGAAGTCAAGCGCAAGTGGGACCTTGAGGTCTGGAAAACGGGGCTTGGCTGCGGCGGCTGCTGAGGAAAAGGATGGTGTCAAGGTTGACAGGCGCGGTGGTCCAAGGAAAAGGGTCCAAAGTCAAAGTCTTACTCTAAGACAGTGGTCCTCCATCCTGACGCAGTTGAGGGCAAGAAAATGAATATTGCAGCCTCTTTGGCTACTTATGCTACTGGAGCGGAGGAGCCAAAGGAGAAGGATGTGGATGATCCGTCCTCTTCTTCCTCTTCCGAACAGGAGTCCAAGGTAAGCTTGTGCTGCAAATGTTGCCTTTTTATTGGTCTTATTTCTAACTCCTTTGGAACTGTTGCCATTTTAGGATGCTGGTGAAGAGGAAGAAGTGGAGGAGTGAGTGTTGCAAGGCATGCAATAGGAGGGGATGGTGGCTGTGTGTTTGTGGGGTGTGGTTGGTTGTCTTTACAGTGAGTTTGTGGCCCTGTTTTGGCTGCACGGGAAAATCTTTCGCGACGGCGTTTGACGGGATGGGATTTTCCGTCGTGATCTTTGAGGAATTTGTGGGGATCCAACAGGTCACTGGTGTGTCTTACTGGTTGGACGGTGGATTGCTTGTGAGAGAAAGCATCTGTTTACACCGGTTAACAGGGTGTTTCAGTGGTCAAAGAGGGCTTCGGGCTGTTGTCTTTGTGATGGTGCGATCGTGGATTTCTTAATTTCACGGAAGTGTGACTTAGTGTGTTTCGAAAAAATGAGTGACCGGAAGCACGACTCGCTAGCCGAGCCTCAAAACTCGAACCACTTTTTCGCGAAATTTGCATAATCGCCTGAATAACATCGCAAAATTCATCCATTTACCCCATTACTTCATCATGCCGTAGCAACTGTTGTAGTGGAGCTATCAACATATGCCCATGGGCTTATCGTGTCCAATAACTTCTTGAAAGGATCAGGGTAGATCCACAAGAGATGAGGATGGCCACAGGGCCTCCTCTGCTTACAGAGTTTCCAGCTCCTGGAGCTGGTACCGATGTTATTCTATCACGATGCTGGGCAGCCTAGCGAATGCTATCAGCTTACCTCTCAATGCCACTGCTCAGCCTCAACAAGATAGGTATCTACTGCAAAGGAACAAGGGAGCTACAGGTCTATGGAGATGGTATTCAATTCATACATTCAATTCTTAGGACTATGAGCAAAAGCATGCATCCAAATAATGGGTGTTATGCAGGATTTGAGCACTCTAAGCCACACTGAGGCTCCTGATCCTCCTGGTCACCTGATTGAGTAGATGTTCGCCTCATGGCCATCTGGGGTGATACAGTGGTCAAAACCTTCATATGGACCATATGGGGCTTCCCTGGTTCCATATGTATGGCCTGGTCTCACCAGTACCAACCAAGATTCTCTAAATCTTTGCTTGTTCCACATCCATGTGGGTACCAGTAACATAAGGCAGACAGTTTGTTCTCACACTCACAACGTTGATCCCATGGATCCAACCCACATTTTATCGCTCCCTCCATCGGATTCATCCGGGTGAGGGGTTCCAGGGTATTCCCTTTCCAGAAAATCACTGCTCGGAGCATTGCCAAATCTGAGAATAACTCCAGTGCTTCGTGAGAATGTCAGCCGGGTGATTTCTCCTGGCATGTGATGGAAGGAGATGGTTCCTGCTGCAATGCTTTCCTAACAAAATGGTAGGCCAGTGCGTGATGCCTTTTCTTGAGCGGGGAGTGGGGCTGTGTGACTTGTGCAAACGGACCCATTGTCTCCGAACATGTATGTGGGGCTTGCACTGGAACACCAAGGTATCTCAATGTGATACGGGCAGCGACAGCTTGTTGGGAAGCTACATCTCTAAGAAGCGCAATTGTAGGTAATTCTGAAAACGAGACCTCAGGTCTCGTTTGGGAAGCACATCCCAACCTCTCCTTCCGAACCAAGTCCAGGTTCCAATTAGGCAACCGGTGCTCCAGGTGGGAAGTGACGTACTTTACAATCTACTACTGGCAGGGGAAACACTTCAGTACGTGGTATGTTACCCTTTTGGCCCATTGGTGTATCCAACCGTTAAGTCTTGTCTACTAAAAAGAAGCACATCGCCATCCGTTTTTGATGGTCAGAATGAAGAATCATTCCCAACAACAATAGTCCTGCACAGAGGGGCTATTAATCGCAGAGGCGTTACCTACCAAAATGGGACCTGCAGGTGGCCAAGTTTCAACTAAAACCAGCTAAAACGAGATAAAACTAGGATAAGAGTGGGAAATATCAAAATGCTAGATTGTTAACGCTAACCCAAATAGAGCAGTAGTGAGTCACCAAAAAAGAGGATACCCGTAAAAGATCCTCATGGGGAAAGGGGTGAAAAGGGTGAAAAAGGCTACCAGATGGGCAACCACCACCGACCAAATTACAAGATCAGCAAAAGGAAGGGAGGCAATGGGTACCGAAAAGCACCGGAAGGCTTCCGAACAGAGAAAACTGGGCAACAAATTTCTCACAAAAGCCCTGCCAAAAGCACCAAGGTGAATCAAAAGGCGCCAAGGCGCTTCCATTCAATGGGGCTTGGCTGCCAATTGACAACCTGGAAGGCACCTAGTCACAGTCCACCAGATCATC